AATTATAACAGTTTATTTGTATATATTAAATTAAATTGCTAAAAACTACACTAAAATAACACTTCTTAGATCTGAATGAATGAAATATTCTCATTGAATGCTTTGTTCTGCACATAGTTGAATGTGCTTACAATAAATCATCAATGCAAATCCAATTTATTAACCAATGGAGGCCCAGGTTTGCAGTTGCATGTCCTTATGTCCTTAAAACTGCTTAAAAATGAGGCACGGTATTGTGTTTAGCCTCCTTTGCCTGTATGACCTCCCACAATGCCTGGGCATGCTCCTGATGAGGTGGTGCATGGTCTCCTGATGGGTCTCTCCCCAGACCTGGACTAAAGCATCCGCAAAGTCCTGGACAGTCTGTGGTGCAATGTGTGACGTTGGTGGATGGAGCGAAAAATTCTGTCCCAGATGTGCTTAATTGGATTCAGGTCTGGGGAACAGTCTGGCCAGTTCATAGCTTCAATGCCTCCACCTTTTAGGAACTACTGACACACTCCAGCCACATTAGGTCTAGTATTGTCCTGCATTAGGAAGAACCCAGGGCAAACCTCATCAGCATATGGTCTCACAATGGGTCTGAGGATTTCATCTCATTACCTGATGGCAGTCATGCTACCTCTGGCGAGCACATGGAGGGCTGTGTGGCCCTCCAAAGGAAAGCCCGCCCTACACCATTACTGCCAAACCAGTCATGCTTAATGATGTTGGAGGCAGTAGATCGCTCTAAATGGTGTCTCCAGACTCTGTTACATCTGTCACATTTTCTCAGTGTGAACCTGCTTTCATCTGTGAAGAGCACAGACCGCCAGTGGCAAATTTGGCAATCCTAGTGTTCTCTGGCAAATGCCAGCATGTTGGTGTGTGAGCACAACCCACATCTATGGACATTGGGCCTTTCTACCATCCTCATGGAGTGAGTTTCTAACCGTTTGTGCAGACACATGTACGATTACGGCCTGCTGGAGGTCATTTTACATGGATCTGGCAGTGCTCCTCCTGTTCCTCCTTGCACAAAGGTGGAGATGGCGGTCCTGCTGCTGGGTTGTTGACCTAATAAGGCCTCCTCCACATCTCCTGGTGTACTGGCCTGACTCCTGGTAGCACCTCTGAACATTACGTTGACAGACACAGCAAACCTTCTTGCCACAGCTCGCATTGATGCACCATCCCGGATGAGCTGCAATACCTGAGCAGCTTGTGTGGGTTGTAGAGTCCATCCCGTGCTACCACAAGTGTGAAAGAATCACCAACATTCAAAAGTGATCAAAACATCACGCAGGAAGCATAGGAACTGAGAAAAGGTCTGTGGTCCCCACCTGCAGAACCACCCTCATCGATTGTGTCTTGGTAATTGCCTGTTGTCTATTCCATTTACACCACAGCATGTGAAGTTGATTTTCAATAAGACAGAAGTTTAATTTAATTGAAGTTATACTGTGTTGTTTACATGTTCCCTTTTTTACTAGTGCATGTATATAACTGTTTATTGCTAATTTACCTTACATGTGCACAAAAAAAATAACATGGTGAAGTTTGAACAGCTTAAAAAGTCTGAAAAAAAAAAATACACAGTGACTGTGTCCGAACGCCCGCCCTAACCCCTTAATTACTATATAATACAAGGACTATATATAGTGGAGTTTATAGTGAACTTAAAGTGACCATTCGGACAGATGATCACTATTTTTCACTCCCTGTTGGCTCCTGGCATGATGCTTTCACCATCTTTGCTCTCTTTCACCCCCAAATCAAATCCAATGATATTTTGTGAGGAGAGCCCTTTCAAAGCATTCTGGGATATATCTGCTCTTCTAGTGAACATAGATGATCACTACTTTTCAAGGTGCATTGTGGGAAATTTTGAGTCCACCATTTTTTCATTCACTAGACGTTCGGACACTCATTAAAATAGCCTAGCTGCTATATAGTGCTCTATATAGGGGTTAGGGTGGATGTTCAGACACATCCAGTGTGCACTTGGTCAGTAAGTCTTACCTGTGCAGCAATGGCTCTAAATTTGGATTCAAGCACCTCCAAAGTCATCTGAATCCCAATAGCTGTTGGTAAACAAAAATAGACATAAGAAAGGAACATTAGTTAGATCTTTCTTTAAGCAATTGCATGAACAAGTACTTGCTAACCACATGCAGTAAGGAGTACCCTGTAGATAAGAAACACAAATTGAAGTTTTTAATCAGGATTTTCAAAAGCGACTAATAGCATCATTAATGCCTCAGAATAGGTCACATCTCTTCCTCGCTTTCAGAGCGGATGAGCAGAAGAGGTCTTTTAGAGCAGATCAGCTCTGAAGTCAGAACTCAACTTATGAAAATCCTTTCACACTCATTGGCCTTCAGAGCCTCCGCAGCGCTGCTAAAAAGTTCCTATTCTTAGAGTGTGTTTGAGGGCATGTGTGTTTATAACGCCTCCACAGCGAAGCCATCTCAGTCATAAAATGCTGAGAATTAGTGTCCGTTTGAACATGTCCCACACACGCGCAGAAATATGCACACAGGGGCGTAGTGATTGCTTATGTCAGCTTAGGGCTGCATGTCTGTCAGCATTTCGGGCAGTTTGGTAATGGGGAAAAAAAGCAAGCCGTAATTGCATAAGTTCCCTGTGCACACATACAGTATGTACCACCCACACCCATACACAGCAAATACACATTTACTTTGAGTGGAAAGATATGACTCTTCGTATTAGCATCAGAGACTCAGCGTTTTCCTCCCAGTGTGGTTTGGGTAGCCACTTAAAAGCCTCTCTGGTGATTACAACACACAAAACACATATGCCAGCACACATCTACCTTTGCATACAAATATATACAGTAGGAAACTTACTGTACAGATCCCAGAAGTTTAGTAACCCTGATTCATCACAATAAGGTCATAAAGATAGTTGAACAATATGCAACATCCCTTCCTAATTTAGCCTGAAATATTCAGTACCTTGAGAACGAGCATTACGGGGCCTTTATAGTTTATTATGGATGTTTGTTACTACTTTAGCACAATTTCACCACACGGCCTTGTGAAAATATCCATGCCCCCTGTTACAATCACCAACTTCAATGTCTCTAGTAGCTTTACATTTTTAGGGACTCATAATTGCCAGTTTTTGTGTCTAAATATAGATTCAGATCTGGAGTCGGAGTCAGTCATTAAAACAAATTCCCTTCTATTGTTGTTCCAACACTTATTAATCTAGAATCTTTTTGCATTTAGATCTAATTATGATCTCATTAACTCAGATGAGCTTCCCTGCAACAGTTTCACAATGGGGATTGTTCGTTACTCTTATAGTCTATGTCAATCTTCCATAAAGGCCTGATTTGTAATGCGAATGGGTTATAGATGATAGCTGTTGACGTATGCAGCTTCTCCAGAGTTACCAAGGACATCTTAAACTGCTCATCTGATTAACCTCTTCCCAACCCTGTATGTCAGTTCAGGTTGTTGACAATGTTAGGTTAGTTACTGTTCCAAACTTTTTTTTCAGAGAGTATTTTAAAACAGGGCTCTGTGAAATAATCCCGACTTTTGATAAATTGTTTTCACGTCATGCTGCCTGATGTGTTGATTGGTCTTTATGAGTTTTTTTTTGTGTTCATCTTCTCTAAAAGTCTCCTGAGCTCTTAGCAGAACAAGCATAAATTCCAACCAAGTTAACTACTTGCTGATTAGAGTGTAATTCTATTGAGGAGTGAAGGGAACATTAATACCCACCAAAACTTTTCAGAAAACCATGTATCATCTCCCCAATAGTTGGTTATACAAAACTATGTGTAGCTCAAACTGAACTGAAAAAAACATTACCGAAACTAAAGGAGTAAAAATATTCTTCTAAGTTCTGTTACCTAAAGTTGAGTGATAATTTCTACCACGTTTTTATCTAATACTAGTTACTTAGGAAATAACTCTTCTTTGTACATCACAGTTTCTGTACTAAATTATTCAACAAAGAAATGGAAGCTTTGTTTTTCTTCTGTTACCACCTCCTACAGCATAGAGTAAAACATATATTTAAAATATGTTATATGTCAAAGACACTTCAGTTCCAACAAAAAAAAAAACTTACCAGTTTTATCCTCGATTTTACAAACATGGAAGCAATACATGGAAGCAAATGTTAACGTAATCATCAGAAGCTAAATTTCAAAGAAGAATCTTAACTTAAGTGGTCCTGAATAAATAACATTTTAGAATATTAATGCAAATTTTTTTTCTTGATATAAAATCGTCACACACAAACTTTCCAAAATAAAATGATTTAAAAAACAAACATATAAGAAAAGCATATGTCTTTTTTTTTTATTTTGTGTTCATTTAATATCCTCCCCAAGCATTAGGAAACCTTAAAAACCAAACTTTTTAAGGTATTATTTCTATTTCCTTTTTGCCATCACACATTTAAAATCAAAGAGGTAGAAGGCAATTTTAGCTCAACAACTGAACATCACTTAACTCGTTAACAAAAAAAAAGATGCCATCAAGTTTCAGATCAGTTATAATAAAACCACAAGCAGATCTCATTATTTTCAGACAGCATATTCTTTTATTAGATGCATACGTTGGCTCCCCTACTCCTGCCGTCTCCCCTCTGTGTCCCACTTGTTTTCCAGTCTTCCTAAATCAGAGTCGTGGCTGTAAACAGTCTATAATCAGTCGCAGACATAAAAAGGTATTTGCCTGATTGAAGGGTTGTTTATCTGTTCCCTCTTTTTCCTGGAGGGGAACCTTGTAACATTCAAAATATCCAACACCTAGGAATCAAAATGTAAAAAAAATATATTAAAAGCAAATCCTTTATATTTGATCTGCTATTTTGAACCAGTGCAACAAAAACTGTTAATATTTTCTGCTTTTCCCATAAAACCATGTTTTTCAATTTGTTCAGAAGCCCATAAAAAGGCAGTAATCTCTCCTTCTCCCCTTTTTAAAGGACTGATAGCTCAAATCTAATTAAAGCCAACTCTAAGAACCTTGCATTAATGTGTTTGCAGTGTTCAAAGCTTTTTTCCTAATAAATATATAATTGGTGAAGCTGCACACGTTATCGAATTAGTACACAAAGGCCTTGGACGTATGAGAGAAAATGTGTGTTTTTAAGCACATTTTGTATACCCTGTGTCTGAGGCATAATTAGCCTGAGCTGCCAATCTAAGCTGGGAATGTTTTCAATAGAAAATGTACAAATGAAAAAATAGATCATTGGAGGTAAGCACTGGAGGTAATTAGTTGTTTTACTATTGAGATTGCAACATGACAAAGATCTACATTTTATAAAATGTTCTCAAGCAAGTCTAGAGGCAGAAAAATCTATGTATGATTCTATCTATACAGAAGAGGATTAGGGCCACTGGAAAACTAAAAAAGTTAACTGATTTTTAAATATTTTTTTGGTTTAATATGGGAAAAAAAGTCAGGCTTCTGAGTTTAATCTCAGAATTCTGACTTTTTTCTCAGCGTTCTGACTTTAATCTGAGAATTCTAACTCTTTTCTCTCTTTTTTTTCTTCTCTTTTTTTCTCATATCATACTGAAATAAAATTGAACAATCAGTAAACTTTTTATTTTTTTCAGTGGCCCTAATCCTCTTCCATATATCTTGGATATTTGCAACATAAAAAAAAAAAAAAAAAAAGATGGGAATAATTACAGGGCTACAATGACTAATTTCCAGGGACTCAGTACAAGTATGCAAGAGAAATCAAGGTAAAACTCATGAAATCTGATTTAGTTAGGTTAGCTAAATAGGTTAAACTCAGATTTTTTGAGCTCTTAACAAATCCGTTTGCACAGCAGGCAATCATCAAGAACATCATTAAGCATGTCTTATGTCTTATCAACAGAGTAGAGATGAAAAAGATGGAAGATGTAAATAAACTTTTTATAATGATTAGAAAAGAATATAATTACAGTAGAGTTAAGTCATAATCATAAGAAACAAAACATATTTTCAGAGCCAAATAGAAAAGTTAATAAAAGGTGAGAAACTGTCCAAATTGGATGGGATGTTATAAAAATGCCCCTTTACATCCATGTTGATGATCCATGAGGACAAGCCGTGGTTTTTCTTGATGCAGTAAATTGTTTTTATAGATTTAGTAATGTATACAAAAATATAATTTGTTCATATTGCCAGAAATTAGGATTAATATTTTAAAAATGATTAAGGTTGTTTTAATCCACCCTAAAATTTCATCCTTACACTGATTGTTTAGCATTCATTCATTGTCCAAAATCAGGGGATCCATGTCACATTAAAGCCAGAGAACTCTAATGCTTGTGTGTGTATTCTGCTGAGGTTGCTCAGAAGGTCAATTTGTGTAGAGCAACCAGTGGAAAGAGCTGTTGTCGCATTGCCCTGGAATACAGATTAAATGCATTGAAACACACAATAGGAGTCAATAAATTAAAGTCACACAAAGGTGGAGCCAATAAACAGAGGTGAGAAAGTAAAGACAACAACATGGAGGTCACTGAAACATGTTGTGCTAAAGTTTTCATACCACTTATTTTTGCACATTTTCTCCCTTTGCAGAAACAAGCCAAAATTGATTTTATTTGGTATCACACAGTTCTGAAATGAAAGGAAAATTATATATAAATGCATATAAATACAATCTGTAAAATGTGCTGAAGGTTTGCATTCAAACTCTTTTCAAACAAGTCCCTAATAAACAAGATCTAAATAAATATTCCAACCTATTTAAATCTACAGCTCAAGTGAAGGAGTTTGTGGCTTTTTCCCCTCACACTCCACAAGTCAAATATTTATGGAAGACAGGCAAGAAAAAAAGCTTCTTTTTAGCAAAGCCATAGGAATCATTATTGGACAGAAAACATGAGGGCCACAAAGTAAACATGAAAGAAGGTGCTCTCTTCCAGAGGGTATTAAACCATTTGGATCACATACAAAATGACATTTGTCTAAGAAGACCAACATTGCTCATCCCCGTGAACATGGCAACCCCAGATTAAAACATGGTGGTGGCAGAATTATGCTTTTCGGAAGCGTTTCAACAGGGATAAGATGAAAAAAAGGTATTGAGA